TGGCGTTTTCACTACTAAATAAGTCAATCATCCGAGTGGAGCAGCCCGACGTCAATTTGGAAGAAGAAGAGTCTCCAACAGTAGCCGTGTCGAACACTCCAATCGTTCGTTATGACTACATATTTTTCCTCTGACATTTTTCGTTTATAACTGACGCATTTTTACCGTTCTAGACCGGATTAATCGTTGAGCCTGTTGAACCATCTGGCTATCTACGTCTAACTTACGAAGAGTACAAGAGGATCGCGGATTTACTTGTCCTACAAACGAAGCAAGGCGAGGAATCCTCACTTGCCGCATCGGGTAAGCCTTATTCACCATACTTAATCTTCCCGAGGTTCTGTGTAATAACGCTCTTTTTAGGAGCAGATACTGGTTCCCCAGTTGGAGCTATACGTAAAAGCGAATTAATAAACTGGTATATGGAAGAAATAGGAGATGAACTCCAAACCGAACAACAACTTTTGGAGTGCAAGCTGCTCATCGAACGTGTTATTGAACGCCTCGTCAAACGCGTAAGCGGAGCAAAATCTCCGTCTAAATTGATTTTACCTAACGCATTTTTTTCTTGTAGGACCACATTTTAATAGAATTAGCTAGGACAGGACTGGATAAAGATGCCACGGCTGACCAAGATCCTTACATAGTTGTGCACCCCAACTATGTCAGCTAAATTTTGTATCCCGCTTAAACACGATTGTCCATATAAAGAAGATAAAATTTAAATAGGCTTTTATTGATTTTGTTACTTGTTCTCACATTCCAGACGGAGCAAAGCATCGATGATGCCTTTTATGTCGGGAAAAAGAACTGCTGCTCTCCTCATATGTGATCGGCATACGGTCCAGGATTCGTCCGCTCGGGAAAAATGGTCACTTACGTAAACTAGTGTTTCTGCCTGTGCCTAAACGATGAGAAAAGAGCATGAGCTTATTTTAATTATTCAACCCATCGACCTTTAGAATGTGTCTTATAAACCCCAAATACTAGCGCTACCGCGTACCGGGCTCGGCCGGCCGTTCCAATTTATTAGCCGTTTCATATGAGTCCTGGGAGTTTGTGACATATTTGTATACCCGATAAATATACTCAGAACCCCATTTTAAATGATGAAAACTATACCTACCCTGGATAACATAGTGACGGCTGTCACTAAATTTATGAGGATGCGCGCCGTGATCGGCATCTGCTGGCTCCACCCTGAATTTTCTCGGGAACTTGTCT